TTGTATTGTTGCAAAGCAGGTTATAAAATGGGTTCGGGAATCTGTTAGTGTAATGGCTGAAGATCCTCTTGATTCCTCAGATTCTACCTTCTCTGCATCATACTCAGGATAATGGTCCTGGGTTCTGGAACTATGAATGAAAATGTTGACAACTGAATTTTGTACATAAATATAATAGTCTCAGAGCAGAGCTTTATAGGTAAAATACATTGTGCCCCGCATTGGCTTACCTCATGTTCAGTGCACTTGAAGAGGCCAGGAAGCAGGATTTTCTGATTCCCTCATAATAGCATCTCTTCTGTAAACATATTTGAAGTGCTTAAGTAGAATAGTGATTTGTATGAGAACTAGCAGTATCTGTCTGCCTTTGGCTTTTATTTTACACCAATTTGTACCCCCTGAATTTGACAGTTAATATTAGTCTAGTCTATAGAAGCTTAGGTGATGCTCAGTTTGAATTTTGCATGATTTGGGGTCACGATCACTTAGCTTTGCATAGTTCAACTCAAAACCATGAATCAGACTGGGTTCATTCAAAATTGGCATGTTGCCTTAAGAGGTTCTTAAATAATTTGGAAAACCTGTTCTACGTTTTGAGTTGTATTAGGAAAGTCTTATATATATAATACAGAAACCCACAGTTTATACAAGAAATGGATATGTGATATTCTTCAATATTTTGACAGTATTTCCAAAGATGTGTTCTGATTGCATAAGTTGTGTTGTTTCTGTTGTCTGTGTTTTGGATACTAATGGAATTAGGATAGCACATAAGCCCACCAGTTACTGATTTTCTTCTTTCCATGCATACTATTATTAGGAAAGTATTAATGATACTGTGGTTCTGTAGGAAGTATTACTGAGCCAATAAGCATATCTTAAAATATTTGAGAAATTATAGAGTTAAAATATGTTGATGCTAGTGGTGCACTGATATATTGGTCTGATATTGGATTAGCACCAATATGAAGAAAATAAAATTGGCTGTATTGGAAATTGGCCTGATGCAGCCGATAATTTGGCCGATAAATGCCTGTGCAAACACAGCTGCAGCAAGCATGCAGACAGTGAGGAGCACAGCCTGGCAGCTTGGAGAGCTGCATGCGGCTGGTAAGTTTGTTGTGGTGGAAGGGGAGGGGGATAGAAAGGGTGTGAGGGGCAAATCAACACCTCCTGCATTGAGGGAGGCACTGGGGCAGGCACTGCCTAGCCAGGGCAGGGTGGGGGGTGCAGGACGGAACCATGGCTCATGCAGTGGGGAAGAGGGGTGCATGCCCCCACGATCAACATGGGGCAGGCGGGCTGCAGCTGCTGACTGGAGGCAGGGCACTGCCAGGCTCTTCTCGGCAGGGGCTGGGCTTAGGGTGGATGGTAGTGGTGCTGGGAGGGTGGCTGCAGCCACCCCAAATTTAGCTGTAGCCCCTCCTCAACCCCTCCTCCCAGTGCCACT